TTCACTTCTGCAATCTAACCTATTATGATCTAAAAATTCTTATTTAATCAAAGTAACAAAACCATCAATATTAAAATGTGTTTTAGCCGCTTGATGCTGTTCTGGATTTTGGACTTTCTATGACTGGAAATAATAAAAAACTAAATCATCTAAAGTATGCTCAAAATAATTTAACATATTTTGTGAATTACTAAAATCTAACATTAATGTTGCATGTACTCAACCTTTTTCCCATCTCTCAATCGTTCTTTTCCAATCTTGTGGATCTACATTATCTAAATTTAATATATTACATGCTATATTAATTTGTTCTAAACCTCTCAAAGGAATCTTATTTTTTTTTCTAGGTTTTATCATGCTTTCTTCTATGTGGTCTACTCGTGCTCCTTCATTATAGTGTTCATTTGTTGGTCTAAAAAATTGTTGGCCAATTCTACTTGCGTGTCCTGGATTTGGATTTTCTACTCTTGATGTACTACTTTCTTCTGCTGGATTACATTCTACTTTGCATTTTGCTCTCAATTCTAATAAATTATTATATTCTTTTGATCCTAAAATATGTTATACTCCTATTTCTAAAATTAAAATTTTCATCTCTTCATCTGAAATTCTATGTAGTACTAAATCATATGTATTATATATATTTTTTTTTAAGTATTACTCTTCATCTAAATGATCAATATCTTCTATAAGTTTATCTAAAATATGATCGAAATTTTGCTCAACTAAATTAATATCTAAATTATCAAAAGCCATATGAATACTCTCATTTTCGATCTTACTTTCATCCTCTTCTATTTTTTTTCTAGTTGCTTGTAATTACTAAACCTAATTGTTGCTTGACCTATACTAGTTTAATATATTTATACTTTATCTAGTTGTCTATTTTTTGCTACTTGTAAATTAGGTCATGCCCACTGAGTTCCTTTTAAAAAACTATTATCTACGGGTTTTACCTCTATCATATTTATATGTTTACTACCAAATGTTTGAATTAAATTTTAAAATTCTAAATTAAACTTATGATTATATGTATCAAACACTTTACCAATATACATTAAGCTAATACACAAATTTTTATATTCCCCTTTCATATTAAACTTTTTTGTTATTATACTCACTTTAATATATTTACTAAATTCATTAATTGTCATAACATAATTTGGAATACAACCTATGACTGCTAAGTTTGAACTTAAGTCTACTTCAGCTGTTGCTATTGCTGCTTGTTGGTGATTATCCCATCTATCATCATATATGTATACTAAAGCTTTTGTGCTGACTTGTGCTTTAGTTAATCCTGCTATTCCAATTAATATTGTTCTTATGTGAATCTGATTAAATTGTGATTTTCTCAAATGAGTAACTACTTCCTTACTAATTAAATTAAATGTAACTTCTTTATCAATACAACTAACTTCATATTGATTGATGCTACTAAAATTTTGCTTCTATTTTCAAATAAACCTAATTGGTACAAATTATATTTATTTTTCTGTGTTCTTTCAAAACCTCTTCTAATAAATTTTTGTGCTTCTTCTTCATTTAGATAAATATCTTCGGCTCTAACTACTTCTCTTCCTTTTTCCCTAAAGAGTTCCATTTTCTGTTATCAAAATGATTTAGCTTAGGTCTTCTATTATTATTTGCACTTAAAGTTAAATTTTCTAATTTATCTATCAAAGATGGTGGAAGTGATAGAGATGCGTTATGTAAAACTTGGTTTATTTCTACTATTTGTTCTTCAACTTGATCCAATTTTTCAGCCAAACTTAAAACTAATTGAATAATTAAATAATTTTGCCTAATGGGAATATTACTACTGGCTACTTGTGTTGAAAAATCTGTTAAACCTACTGGTTCTTTGTCTAGCTTACTAATTTCTTTCAAAACTTGAATATATTTTCTGCTAGTTCTAGAATCGGTCATTAAACTAATATTTATCTATTTTATTATGCAACTTATCTACTTGTTCACTTAACTCTTTTTGCACTAATTGATTTTTTTGGACTTTTAATTTTAACTGCTTAACTACTTCTAATGATCTAAGTTCTACTTGCTTAAGCTTATTATCTATGAGGTCAACAAGCTCTTTTATCTCTCTTTTGCTAGGAAACTTTTGAATATTTTTATTATTATCTTCTAATTGAGATGTAATATAGTCTAAATTTTGTCTAATTGTTTTTATGGAATTTTTCTGAAAATACTCTAACGACTGATTTAACAAATGATTATGCTTATCATTTTCTAATTTTATATTTTTTGCTTGATTAATAATAAAATCTACAATATTATTGGCTTGTGGATTTTCTTCACTATGCAAAATATGATTATGCTTTCTTAATGGAAAATAACAAACTAAACTATTTTGGTCTAATGTTATTTTTCTTTTTTGAAGTTCACTAATTTCTAAATTAAGGTAATCTATCATAAACTATAGTCCGCATTTTTCTAAAATTACTGTTAACTGGTTTCTTAGAAACTCTCTTTCTTCTCTTAAGGTCTCTAAAGTTTGATCTGTTGCTCTTTTTGCTTCTAAAACTTTATGCTGCACTTCTGTGTTATTATATTTATGAATAAATGAAAGATGTTCAAGATAACCAAGATAAAACTTTTGTTTCTTCAAAGTCCTGCTAATTCTTTTGGATATGTATGCTAATCTTCTCTTTATGCTAGTTATAGTTGGATGTTTAGGACAATAAATACCTGGTGGCTGTGGTTGACAAGGTTTACAAGGACAATAATATCTGCTGTTCATACAAAATAAACAAGTGTGATATCAGTTGTATCAATGACTTCCATCCTCAAGCTACTTTACTATTATAATTGTACTATTAAAATGCTAAACTTGGCTCTGATACCAGATTCTGAAAGCAGGCCTGTTTAAATAGTCGGATGACCATTATAACAACTAGACATAAAACCTTGCACATGGAACTCGACATGTTTCAGCATGACGACCACTCACAGTACAAGTATAAGGCCTTAAAGGCTGAACTCAGAGGTACGAAGAACTCAGAGGTACCCTGGTTAATGCCCAGTTATTTGTATGGCAGATATTCAACTATAACAGAGTGCTTGAACAAAGTATGATTGTCATTTTAGCAGGTTAATAATACAACTACAATATTGTTTCCCTGTTTTAGACTAGAAGTCTAAATAAACAAACACAGTAAAGAAAGAAAATAAAGCTTACTTAAAACTTGGAGATTGCTTGAATATGTACACTTGAACTTTTATTGATATATAGAATGTTTACAAATATAATTGTTTACAAGAAAGTGTTTACAAGGATGCTATGAAGGTTATGGATGCTTGAAGATGATGTGTGCATATGGTGAGAGTAGGGTGTTCTTTTATGTTGAGAGTTGAGAGTTGAAAGGTAGTTGTTACAATGAAAGGAATTTCTCCTTATATACACTAAATGAGGATACTAACATACAAAATTCTAATTGAATGGTGTGCCTTATCTTTTCTTTTTTGGCACTGTTTCTGAATATGTAAACACTGTTTCTGAATCTGTAAACACTGTTTCTAATTCTGACGGGATCTTGTCTTGTCTTTCTTTTGCTTTGATAAAGGCCATGTGAACCCATGTGAATCCTTCTGCATGGTTTCTTCTTCTGAAGCCCTCCTTTGTCACCTTTCTCATGCCCAATTTGGGTATTATCAAAAAAATTTGTCCTTATGATTAAAATGAAAGTTTTTTTGGGTGTTTTGGTTAATTTTCCCTTTTATCTTTAACTAATCCTGGTATCCCTTTTTCCTATTTAAAATGGTCCCACTGTCTTTTCTTTCCTCACTTTTATATTACTTTTTTTTTTCTCTTAACCAATCTTCTGACTTTTGTTTTTTCATTTTTGAGTGATGTTGTAATAGTTTTTTTTTTTTTTTATCTTTTTAAGACCAGGCCATTTCTATTCTTTTATCAAGCTTTGTACCAAATAATATAATTATACCTAATTGTATAACTTTGGCTAAATTTATCGTCTTTAGATTGGACGCGTGTTTTGAGACTACTTTTGAAATGTTAAAACTCTTAAACATGAGGTTAAAAATATTTAATAACAATAGATTTTCTTTTAGTTATCATAGATTTTATTTTTAATTTTTTGAAGTTTTTTAATATCTTCTAATGTGCTTTATGGTGGATAGATAGGTTTTATACTGTTTAGTTCTACTAAGAGCAATGTGCATCGAGATTTTATGCTGAGCAATGTGAATCTTGCATTAGAAGTGATACTTATGCTTGTGATTTCGTGTTCAATTTTTGTACCTTCTGTTCACTTGAGCCATTCTTGTTTCAATCTCTTCATTGACTACACTGTCTATTTTTTAACTTTTTTCTGAATTGTCCAACGTATTTAAAATGACAATAAAACCTAAACGTTTTGCCCATTTCTTTTATAATTTTTGGCTTTGTCACTAATGGTGAGGGTGTATGAGAATGGGTAATGAGGGAGATCAAAATTTTAAACCAGGTTAACAAATCAAATGATGTGTCATCAATATAAAATAAGCATGTTAATCAACGTTTAAGTAATTATTTAATTATCAACAACCACATCATTTAGTTTACAAATTTAGTTTGAATTTTTTTGTCTCTCAAGCATTATTAGTATAAAAATATGTTAGATTCAAACTTTGAAATGTTAACCGAAAACCTTCTCTCACACATGATTTGTGAGAGAAAGGCAGGCATGGCTGATGTAGTTAAGCATAAGATAATCGCAAAAAGAGAAAGAGATACGTGCATGGTGTCCAAGTGTAAGAAGGGAATGAAACAAGATTTGCATGCACTTCTCACATTGAGCCACAACTTACCCTCCAAAATCAGGTGGTGTTTGCATTTCTTGCCACGCATAGTGTATTACTTGCTGCTGACTGGGGATGACGACTTTTCCTCCTTATTTGCCTTTCCCATAGTAATTTTCTCTCTCTACCACCGCTCTTTATAACCAAAATATTCATCACGTAGCTAGTCTTCTATATTTCTGCAGCTCCTCCATATGCTAGAGAGAGAGAGAGAGAGAGAGAGAGAGCAAGAAGGTCAGAGAAGATCGCAGAAAACCGTATCGAGTATGGCTGCGAGTGCTGTGACGGAGAATGAAGCACTGGCCACACAAGCTCCATATGCACCTGTCACTATTGAGAGGAGAGTCAGGAGTGACTTGGAAACCAAACTTCCTAAACCATGTATGTGAGACCAATTTCATTTTCTTTCTTGCTATACATATAAATATATATCTCTCCCTTTCACTTTTGTATATATTTATAAGCTTATTACTCTTTATTCTTCTTCCAATATCAATATGCACACGGAGATTCCATAACAGGAATCAATGATCTCGATGAGAGAACTAGTTGATTGGGAAATGATAACTGCACACCATTTTTTTTATTTATTTTTAAGCTTTTATGCACCGCTCTTTATTTTTAGTAATTGAATTGAATAAATTAATGAAACGAAAACAAAGAATAAAATTTAACAGAGGTGTGGATGCTGAAGTAAAAGTGTGTTTTATTTATTTATTTTTTTCTACTTTGATAAATTTTTAATTTCTTATTATTCGAAACTTTCCATGACAAAAATGATGGTAATTGTGACATGTTCTGGTAGGTTGGGAAATAAAATGCTAATACAGCCCCCCAGCCCGCTAATTCATATTTAATCATCTTTAACACATACCCAACTGCAGATATGCCCAGAGCATTGGTTGCTCCAGACACAGACCATCCAACGGGAACAGTCGGCCATCAGCACCGTGACATGAGTGTTCTTCAGCAGCATGTCGCTTTCTTCGACCAGGACTACGATGGCATTGTCTATCCTTGGGAAACTTTTGCTGGTAAATCTTCATGTTATGTGCCTGCTGCCTTCAACTTACCTTTCCTTACGAGTAATGCTAGAGATAGTAAATTTGTAGACAAAATTTGCAAACCAAATGATGTGTCACCAATAGCAAATGAGCACATTTATTAACACTAAAGTGATAATCTAATCATCGACTTCCATGTCATTTAGTTTACAACATTTTGTCTACTGGCTTCAATCTTTCCTTAATTGTACATTAAGCACCCTTGTAGTGGATTTAATTGGTTCTAATGTATTCTTTATTCCTTTCCCTTAAATAATCAGGATTGCGAGCCATCGGTTTCAATCTTATCGCCTCCGTTGTTATGACTGTTCTTATCAATGGGGCTTTGAGTTATCCCACTCTGCCTGTAAGTTCCATATTGATTTCCAAACTTCTTTATAAGAAAGCAGATGTTAATTATTTAATTACTAATAGGCATTCTATGAGTAATTAACTTGTGCCGCTAATCTCACTACTATATCCTAAAGTATAAACTCGCTGCTCTGATACCGTCACACACCAGATGATGTTAACTGCCATATCATGTGCTTAGTTACTGCAATCCGTTTACCTGCATTATGCGATGATCAGTGTGTCTCAAAGGGCGGCGAAAGTGAGTAAATGTGGTAGAGAAGAAAAGCTACTTGACTGAAAAGCGTGACTAATCAAAGATGCTTTGTATCTCTTGAATTTCTAATTTACACAGGGGCGGATTCCTTCTCTTTTCTTTCCCATACACATATACAACATTCACAAGGCAAAGCATGGTAGTGATTCCGGGACTTATGACACAGAAGGAAGGTATGTAATTATAAATTAAATGCGACAAAGTAACGATCTTCGATAATGGCTCGTAAAGAAATCACTAGAATTCATGTTCAATCATTTTGCAGGTTTAGCCCAGTCAACTTGGAGAACATGTTTAGCAAGTATGCCCATACCGTGCCTGACAGGTTCACGCTGGGGGAGCTTTGGAAAATGACCGAGGGGAACAGACTTGGATATGACTTCTTTGGATGGTAAGCCCTTTCGGGTCCCTAAGACGCTACACTTTGGTACAAATTAGTTTTTGTTCTTCACTTGGCTAACTTACAGAGTGTGGTTCGGGCAGGATCGCGAATAAGTTGGAATGGGGGCTATTGTATGTGCTTGCTAGGGATGAAGAGGGTATGCTGTCAAAAGAAGCCGTTAGACGCTGCTTCGATGGAAGCTTGTTCGAGTATTGCGCTAGGATGAATACCGTCGGTAGAGCGAAGATGGGCTAGAACAATATGGAAGCTATGTACCAAAATGCAGTATATGTACGCGTGTAACGATTTAGCTTTTGTTTGAGACGTTGGAACTGTAATAAATTGAGGGATGGTCCTTCACTGTTTCGTACATGATGAAATGATCATAATTTCACCTTTTCATTCATAATTCTTCATTCAAAGTCTATTTAGTTGCATGAAATTCTGATAAAATTGAAGGGATATAAAGTAAAATGTGGTAAATCTTCAGAAAGTGTAGTACATTGGGTTTGGGAGTTTGAATGTCCTTTTGGCGGTAGGAAGTCCATTGATGCTGCTGTATTGGTCTCCCGCAATGCCCCAAATGGTGTAACCATCGGCAATCAATTGCTTTCTCACTCTACTCTTGTAATTCTGCACTCCTCCCAGTTCATCGTCAGTACCACTGAAACCAAATACAAGTTAAAACAAATTAGATGCACGATGTACATGAAGAGAGTGACAAAGATGTGGATTCTCATGCCACGTTAAATTGTCCGCCCAAGACGATAGACACATAAAAGGGTGACCCTGAATTTGGGTTTCCGGCCCCGAGTCCATCAAAATGGACCCGAATGCAGGATGTCACTTTTGTTTGTGTCTTGAGCAGACTAATAACGTGGCACGGAAGTCTCTGTCCATAATGTGAGAGAGAGAGAGAGAGAGAGAGAGAGAGAACCTCAGTATAAGGCTTGTCCAACCATAATAGCCAACATTGACAAGGTTATCAATTGTGGGTGATCTTAGAAGCTCCCTCCTTGAAGAAACCAAAATGATCTGCAACCCTCTGCCTTTCATCTCATTGAAGAGTTTGAGTGAGTTCTCTAAAGCAGGTGCCTTTCCACAGCTCATCCATTCCTCCAGAGAAGTCAGGTTCAACTTCTCACCCCTACATACAAATTGCTTTACAAAATTACCACACTCGAAATTTCGTATGCCATCTCATACTTTCGAATCAAACATATATAATGTCTTACCCGAAATTTCGTTTCTTGTAGTAAGGCACGGTCGAAAGGAGCGTATCATCAATGTCGAAAATCCATGCATCTCTACCATCTTTCTTCAGATTGCAGCTAGTGCTTAGGTACACAAGCGCCTCCTCGACCGCCCTCTCAGAGTCCACCTTGTACTGAGTTGAAGTAATGTATTTTCCAACGTATCCAATGCACTCTTGAGGCACGGTTTCGAACTCTCTGATGTTGTGGAGCTCGACATTCATCCTCCAACTCTCGCAGTAGTTTCTCAAGCTGATGTCCCGTCCATTCTTGGTTCTGTGATCCAATATGTTCCACCGCGACTCGGTGGCTGCAATCGTAACAGAAAGAATCAAAAAACAAAAGAAGAAGCTTTGATTTCTATCCATTTTCACTGGCTTGAGTACAAGGAGAGGGAGATGGAAAGTGGGTTTAAGTAGGAATTGTATGGGGAAATTGGAGCAAGAAAATGTGACATGGTAACATGGGTTTTGGAACAAGTATTTGTGGTTTGTTTGGCATGTTGTACAAATCACATGGTGGTCAGGCTGACAAATGCTTTATGTTTGATATAATTTTTATTTTATATTCCATGCTTTCGTTGTTTGTTTTGAAATTTTATACACAATTATTTTGATTATTCTGTCAGCGCATACATTACGATTCGCTAGAAATCTTTGCTTCAGATTAAAAAAAGAAACCTTCATTATATCAACAACAATTTGCACTAGATTAAAGCCAAAATGCACTAATCATTCACGTCGTCTCGATAGGAAATTCTTCCTTGCACATTGTTTTCACAAGCTAGCGGTTGGAATTTTAACCAATTAGGAATTGAGGAAATTGTAATAATGGTCTATCAACTTTAACTAAATTTGAGTAATAGTTCCTCAACTAAAAATCTATGACTATTGATTCTTAACTCATCAAAACTTGTAGCTATGGTCTTTTTCATCAACTTTGTTAGAACTTCCATCAAAATGAGCCACATGCCACGCACGTGAGAGTGAATCAAGGGGCTAATATGAAAAACCAATGAGAAAAATTGTAGCAATGTCCCTTAACTTTAACCCAATTGTGAAATGATTTCTCAACTTTAACCCAATTAAAACAATACTTCTCCAACCCAATTATAACAATAGTCTTTTTAACATGACTCACGTCGACATAATTTCAACAGAGTTGACGAAATGGACAATAGTTGCAAAAAAGATCACCAATCTTGAATTTTTAGTTCAATAACCATTGCTCCAATTGAGTTCAAATTAAAAGACCATTGCTACAATTTTCTCTTGGGAAGTGTTTTGATGTGCAAGAAAGCATCCCTCCAACCTCGACACAAATCGATTTTGCACCCTTTTATAGATCAATAGGATGGTAATATTTAAGGAGATTAACAAAATGCAATTTCTAAACTCTGAAAAATAAGCATAATAGTTATATCTAGAACAAAACAACATCCATTTAAGTTTGCACAACACATCAACAAGATGAAACAAAATTTAGTCATATTTCAGGAACGACCTCCCTTCTAATAACAAAAACAAACATAACTCAATCATATATCTGTCCTATTCAACAGCGCGGCGAGTAACATTTAGACGATGGCATTAGCAGCACTTGCAATCCTAGGCCAGAGATCAGCGCACTCCTTCCCGATTGGACCAGTAATAGCAGACCCTAAACAAACACGCAGAGCAACCGATAAGAAAGGGTGACTAAATTAACCTATCAAAGTGTTACCAAACTTTACAGCTGAGGAAACAGTATGGTTATGATGTGGGATGTACCTTTCATTTCTCCCTTCGGGTTCACAATAACACCAGCATTATCTGCAGATAAAGCAAACAGTCTCAGTAAGATACAGTGATTAACAATGAAATGCAAACAAGACGATGTTTTGTGACACAGTATGTATTAAAAATCTCAGAACAAATGAAATCAATAAAATGTGTATTAGCAATAACAAATATGTAGGGACCAGATGTAACAGATGTGAGCATGTAAAGCAAGGTACGCCTGTAACGATGGGCACTGTCAATTTTCCAGACGTGTAACAGCATCAACTATTAAATAAAGAGGATACTTGACTTCTGTCTGGTTATCTTACAGTTATGTTTAAAACACTTGGAACTAATCAAATAATACCACTCACAATATGTAAGAATAATTATACTACACTATAACCGGTCAAATTCTACAAATATTAATCAATTTCAATGTCAAAACAAGTATGTAGTGACCAAATGGAGCAGATGTGAGCATAAGTGCAAGCACGCCTGTAACGATGGGCACTATTGATTTCCCAGACGTGTAACAGCATCAACCATTGGTTAAAGAGGACACTTGACTTATGTCTGGTCATCCTAAAGATGCATTGGAACTAAATACAAGGCCAGAAATGTAACAGCATCAACTGCCAAATAAAGGGAATGCTCGACTTCTGTGTGGTTACCTTACAGTTATGTTTAAAACACTATTGGAAATAAACGAACAATGCCCAACACAATACAATATGTATGACAGTCTTACTACACTATAACCAGACAAATTCTACAAACATTAATCCATATCAATTCCAAAACAAAAATGTAGTCCCCAAATGGAGCAGATGTGAGCATAAATGCAAGCACACCTGTAACGATGGGCACTATTGATTTTCCAGACGTGTAACGGCATCAACTACTAAAAAAGAGGACACTTGACTTATGTCTGGTAGTCCTAAAGGTGCATTTGAACAAAATAAAAGACATGTATCGAATGGCGAAAGATGAGATTCCATACAGAATAGAATCCAATCGAAAATTATTCGACAGATAAGTTTCATTAGTGTAGCTGGTATTAGGATGTACCAAATCATTGTGCACACATAACTCCACTGATGGAGTTATGTGCCCATCATGACACTGCTTAACCAGCATTCTGTTTCTCATTCCATAGTCATCAAAATTACAATTAGTCAACTCAATATCAAGATCAACAGTTACGCAAGATGATCCGCTCAGAAAACAGAGTACACATCCCAAGATACTTATCATATCATCTAAACAAGAGAACAAACCAACAAGACAATTAGACTGAAACACCTATTGGATAATAACATAATCAAAAACATTATGACACATTAATGAACAAGGGTAATAATATTGACCTTCAAAGTACATGAAGACACCATCCTTTCGGCGCCATGGCTTGCGCTGCCTCACGATGACAGCAGGTAGGACCTTCTTCCTGAGGTCAGGCTTTCCCTTCTTGACAGTGGCCATGACCATGTCACCAACGCAAGCAGATGGCAACCTATTCAAACGACCCTTGATTCCCTTCACGGATATGATGTAAAGATTCTTAGCTCCGGTGTTATCGGCACAGTTCACAGTGGCTGCCACTGGAAGACCCAGTGACATCCTAAACTTGTTTCCAGCGGACCCTCCACGCCCTGGGCCAGAAAACCAACATCAGAACCATATCATACTATAAAATCAAACACCCACAATTTTTAACCTCAGATTCATATGTTTTGCCATATGGAAAGAAATCAAAGACCCAAAATTCAAAATTTGATTTCAAATAATCATACCCCACAATCTAAATCTTATTAGACAAAATGCACAGATGGGAGTTTATAACATTTTCATGGCTAATATCTGATTTGTTAAATCAACATGGAAAATGTTCAATCGAACCAATAAACATTTCATTTTCCTAGAGAAATCAAAGGAATCAGCAACTAAGAAGCTAAAATTGATCAATGACAAACAAAAAGAGATAAAAATTGTTGATTGGCATGCATCAACAAGAAAATCCTAGGAACCAAGCAGCATATTAAGCACAGCGAATATCAACGAAGGTGGGGCGGCCAAGAACCGACCTCGCTTCGACATCTTGGCTGCTGCGAAAAGGAGACTGAGGGAACGGTAGGGTTTAGCAAATGTGTATATATAGAGGGAGAGCGGCGTAGGGTTTTCTATTCTCTTTTCTTAAAATACCAAATAGATCGTGGGCCTCTTCAACATTGTGGCCTCGCTGAGTAGTGGGCTTTTGAGAAGGCCTTCTTTCTTCATCCTTGTCGAAGATATCCACAGAAGCCCAATGTTCCATTTTTCAGCTTTTACTTGGGTTTAGTACATTCATTATATTGGGCCGACTTAGGCATAGGAACGGTTCGGTTCGGTACAAGGTGGTACCAAAACCAAACTCGTAACAAAAATTTGGTACCGTTCCAAATGCAGATCGAATTCGGTTCTGGGCCTTTAAGGAACAATTTGTTCCGAACAAGGCCTGTTTTTGAAAAAACAAAAAGGCCCAAATCAGTTTTGGCCCAAATTATTACAAATTAAAAAAAATAGGACCAAATCAGTTTTGGTTGGTCCAAATGCACAAAGCACAGCACGAGTCCTTGTTTGCAAACATCAAACAAAAGGTCCTGTATGATTGCTCCAAATGCACAGTGCACAGCACGAGTATCCTATTTCTCAATCCAACGGACATCAAAATTCAAACATCCAATTTCATGACTCTTGCTAGTGTCAAGTTCAAATTTTTGTAACAACATCAACCATATACAAATTCAATCCAACAACAAAGTTCAAGTAAATGCCTTATGGAATTAGTACAAACCCATATGAAAAATCAAAGTTTATGTCAAAGCCTTATGGAATTAGTACAAACCCAAATGAAAAATCAACGTTTATGTCAAAGCCTTATGGCAATAATACAACCCAAATGTAATAGCAAAGTTCGACTTAATGCCTTAATAAGTTCAATTCATTTAAAATAAAAGCAATTACACGTTAGGGCCTTCACGTTTAACACTCTAGTGGTTGGAGGTTTGGGAGAAGGGGCCTTTGGTTGAGCACTTTTTGAGCACTTTTGGTTGAGCACATATATTATGATAAACATAGGTTTTTCAAAACCTAGCATGTTGTGCAATGTCTGATAACCCCCAGGCCCCATGCCGGCTCCCCGTCCCTATGCTAATAGCCAGAGGAAACACACTCCAGGCCCTATGCCAACACCAAACCGTCGCCCAGGACGGACCAGAATGTATCCCTACGTCCCGTAGCAGAATAAGGACCATTAGGTAAGTACAAAACCATTGAACATACATATGTTGAAAAGCAACTTCATAGTATAAAGTCATCCATCATCTATACTATAAAGAGGTATTCTAAACATGTTCTAAATATCATATCGTCATCCATCAGATATTCTACAAGAACACGGGTTATAGGAAAAATAGTAATAATTCAAACTAGCCTCAGTAAGCATGTTATCTCACAAAACGTTTCATAAAACATAGTCATCAAATCATGCTTTTCATGTATGCATTTCTACTATCAAAACTTGCATTTTTAGAAGAGGTCCACTCACAGTACTCCGTTGCCGAAGTGCCACACAACTAGCAAAAACAGAAACGCCACAAATAATTGCCCCTAAGCACATAAAGGGTAAATTTAG